AGCGAAGAAAATGAAGGAAAATATAAACAGATGGGACTACATCAAACTGAAAAGCTTCTTCACAGCAAAAGAGACATTAACCAAGACAAAGAAACATGCTACTCACTGGGAAAAAATCTTTGCACTCCATACAATGGACAAGAGACTGATCACAAAGATATGCAAAGAGCTTATCAAATCAACAAAAACAAAACAAACAACCCAGTCAAGAAATGGGCAAAAGAACTTAATAGACCCTTATCCAAAGAGGAATTATAACTGGCCAATAGGCATATGAAAAAAATGGTCAATATCTCTCATAATTAGGGAAACGCAAATCAAAACCACAATGAGATGCCACCTCATATCAGTGAGAATGGCACATATCAAAAAACAAACAACAAATACTGGAGAGGATGCAGTAAAACAAAGGAACTCTCTGACATTGCTGGTGGAAATGCAGCAAACTGTTACAACCACTATCGAAAGCTGTGTGGAGATTCCTCAGACTATATTCCTCAGGTTGTATGGAGTTACCATACAACCCAGCAATTCCACTCCTAGGGATCTACTGAAAGGACACAAAAACATTAATTCAAAAGGAAAAACGTACTTCTATGTTTATTGCTGCTCTACTCACAATTGGTAATTCCCAGAAACAACACAAATGCCCAAAACCAGATGAGTGGATCAAGAAGATATGGTGTATGTATACACACACACACACATACACACACACTATACATACATATATATATTATATATATGGTATATATTATATATATGGTATATATATAGAAAAGTAAATATATATATACACACATATACACACAAATATATGTATACATACATACATGCATACACATACATATACAATAGAATACTAATCAGCAATCAAAAAAGATAAATTCATAGAATTTGCAGTAACATGGTTGAAGCTGGAAGGGGTTATGCTCAGTGAAATAAGTCAGAAGGAAAAAGAAAAATATTGAATGGTTTCACTTATAGGAGGAATTTAAGAGAACCAATTAAGACAGTGGAGGGGAAGGTATATTGTTATTACAATAAAACATGCAACAAAACACAACAAAAACAGACAATTATAAACCTGAGTGATCTTACTGGGGAGGGAGATAGAAAGAGATCAGAAGGAGGAAAGAATGTGGGGGCTCTGGTGATGATGAGTGGGGGAGGAGGGAAGTAAATATTGATGTATAATGAACAAAAAAGTAAATAGAAATATAAATAAAAAAAGAAATAATGACTTGGAAGATAAAGTTGAAGGAATCACTCCAAATAAGTCAAAGAGTTTGAAAATAAGACCAAAGAGTTAGAAGACATAAAAGATAGAAACAGGACTAATACAGATCTAATTGTATTTCCAGAAAGAGAGAAAATAGCAAATGAGAGGGGAATTCTTAATTACATAAGTTATGACAATTTTACAGTATTGATGTAGAATCCTAATACTCAGATTCAGAAAGTTTAACTAATCTCAAGCAAGATAAATGAAAGATAAATCAATATTTAGACATATCAGAGTAGAACTTAAAAGATATAAAGATACAAAAACCTTAAAAGCAGTCTGAGAAAAAAGAAACAGCAATTAGACTAATAAGAGAAAGAGACTTAGCCAAATCAGAAGTTAAACACACTGGGGCTAGTAACTGCAAAGTGCTAAGATAAAACAACTCTTAACCTAGATTTTTATACCAAAATGTCATCTAAGGTCGAGGACCCTCCTCCCAAAGATATTTTTAAACAAAAAAGGAAGATGAGTTTATTACTAGTAGAACCTCACTAAAGAAACTTCTAAAAGAAGATGGAAATTCAATCCAGAAGAAAGACTTGAGACACGAGGAGAAGAATAATTAAAGAAATTGGTCAACATGTGGTTAATCTCAGTAAACATTGTATAAATCGATAAATGATTTAAGAACAATTATAACTCATTTGGGGGTCAAGACACAAAGTTCAACTAAAATACGAAACAGCAATTCCTGTATAAGTTACAAGAGGCAAGGCCAGAATTTTTTTTTTTTTGATTTATTTATTTGTGCATACAGAACTGGGGTACAGGCCAGAGGCTCAGGGGCGGTGAGAGGCTTCACCAGAGACAGAGTGGGGAACAGAACAGGCTGACTGACGAAGTACACTGCTGAGGGGAGCAGCGGGCGGGTCAGGAGAGGTCTGCCACGCCATGTGGTCACCTCCGGGGCGGGCGGGAATCGAACTCATGCGGAAGCGGCCTTAGATTCTCAGTGCTGTGCTTTAACCCGCTGCGCCACCAGGGAGGGCCACAAGGCCAGAATTTTAAAGTTTTTATATTGTTTTAGGGGAAGGTGGAAATTTAAACTTAAAATTTTGTTACTCATATATATACAAATGTCAAAAGTAACCTCAAAAATAATAGAAACAAATTATGTAAATTTAATATAATTAATCTTATCAATCCAAAAAGTGAAAAAAAATAAGTATATAGAGTGCAAAACAATATGTATAAGTTTAAAGCTATAAGCAATTAAATAAAATAAATGTAAAAGCCAACATTAAAAGATATATTTTCAGTTTATAATATCAACATAAATAAACTATATGCTGTTTACAAGAGATAGAAAACAAAAATACAGAGTAGTTGAAAGTCAATGAGCAGATAAATATGAACTAGGTAAATACTAACCAGAAGAATTTTTGTATAACTATATTAATAATATTAGGTAAAATACACTTTTAGTCAAAAAGCATTATCATCACAGTCTGATAGTAAAATATAATTGTCTAAGAGTATATAAGTTTTTATTTTGTATATCTCTAATAATATAGCCACCAAACATATTTCAAAAAGGATAGCAAACTTAGATTAACTTTCCAGTATCTGAGAAAGAATATTAAAAAAATACTCAAGTGCAAATGATGTAAAAATAAACTGTTCTAAAAAAAAAAAGAATTCAACAGAAAAAAAAATACTCAAGTGCTTTGTAATTTAACATATCTATTGTTTTATCTCCCCAAATGTCTTGTTTTTCTGATAGTTGTTCCTAGGAATTTGTATCAGAAATGGAGCATGACTAGTAAATGCTATAAATGTGAATTTAGTTAACAATAATGTGGATTCACTTTATATGGATATAGGGTACTGATGGCCTGATTTCTGTGATGGCAAAGGAATCAACTCTTTTGTTATTATCCCTTGGGATTCCAACCGACTGCTCAGAGAGCCTGGAACTCTAAGTAATTTGGCAATAACACATCAGGAAATTAGAGTATATAGAACTAGTTTAAGTGCCTTTACAGAAGGACAAGAGACAATGTCTAGGATAAAGTGATTTCTCCTGAAGGTAGAGAGGAAACAAGAAAGGAAACACATAACTTTTATTGAAAGGCAATCTGGGGGCCCTCCCTATTGATGCAGGGGGTTAAAGTGCAACATAATGAGGTTATCTGCAGCTACTGCATGGAGAGTTGGATCACTGGCCAAGGAGCTGACCCACATAGTGCAGCAGACCTCTCCTGTCCTGTCCGCTGCTCCCCTCAGCAGTGTGTTTTAGTCAATGTGCCTGTTCTGCTCCCCACTCTGTCTCTGGTGAATCCTCCCACCACTCCCAGCTCTGGCCTTACTCCAGTTCTTATATTCCAGTTCTTGTACGAATAAATAAATAAATCTTAAAAAAAAAAAAAGCAATCTGATACATGTATCCAAGAATCTGAGGTAGACAAGGAATAATCGTGACTTGTGGGTGGTAGATGCTGCAAAATGTGTTTGATTTACCCTTTACTAAAACTGTCTGGAGAGCTACAGAATTCCTGCAGTTGGAGCAGAATACTGGGGAGGAGTCTTCAGAGTCAGGTTACCTCCCCACATCTTACCTCTCCTTTGGGATAGCGATAGCGATATTTATCTTGATCCCGTAGTGCAAATTCTTCAGGGTAGTTTTCCTGAATTTCTTCATAGGTCATCTCTTCACAGACCCCCTGAGACAAAAGTATTCATAGGTGAAATTCTCACAGTCTTTACCATAGTTCTGAGTTCAGTGACTATGGAACAGCAGTACATGAGCATCTGGGTATCTATGAACACAATTCTAGGTTTGTGCTTGACATGCAAGTATATGTGTGTTTGTGTGTGCATGGTGCATATGATTGTGACAATGTGAGAGTGAGTGTGTTCATGTGTATGGTGCTGGGTATCTGTGATTTTCCTCAATATGTTTTTAAGTGTACATTGTACATATAAGTATGTGGGCTTAAGGGTTTGTGACTATGTGTGCATGTGTGTATTCAGCATGTTTATGATACACGGTATGTTTAAGGTGCTACGTCTTGCGCTTGTGTATTTATGTAGTGTGTTTGTGTAAGTTAGTATGTGTACAGGGAGTTTAAACAACTGAGAACGTGCCCATGTGGGTGCCTCAGTAGTTTCTTCACAGAGTTCTAGTGTGTTGATGGCATATGTATCTGTGAGTGTGCATATCTCCCCAGATTATGTCTCTGGTGTATATACATGTGAGTATCTATGCACCTTTGTCTGAGATCTATGTGATTTTGTGCTAATATGCTAGGCATTATGTGTGTACTGAGTATATATATCCATGGTATAACTGTTCGTGTAATGTAGATTATGTCTAAATAGTGTGTCCATATGTATCTCTAGGTATGTGTCTATAATGTATATGCATGTACTCATATGATGTGGGTATGATGGGTAAATATGTCAGAGAGAGCTTGTGTCTCACAGGGTAGGTCCATGTGTCTATGAGTGCATGTATGTGAATACAAACACATTTGTGGTGACTGTCACTGTGTTTGCAAGTGCATATGTGTGTGAACAGTCATAACAGTTCTCTCACATTTTATAGCATTTCTTATTCCACCTGCTGCTACCTTTGCTCCAGTATCTCTGTCAGATAAATAAAATAGTATCCCACAGACCACAGATATCTCAGAAGACAAGAATTAATAAATTCCTATCATTTTAGAGTGGGCCTTCACTCGAAGAAAGAATCGAGGACTTAGCAAACGAGTTCCTCAGAAGAACAAGAGAAATTCTTCAGTACACTGAGAAATCCCAGAAGTGAGGTTGGAATGGAAAGTGATGTTGGGTTTCTTTAAGGTTTATTTATTTATGCATACAGAACTGGGGTACAGGCCAGAGGTGCAGGGACAGTGAAAGGATTCACTGGAGACAAAGTGGGGAGCAGAACAGGCAGGTTGATGAAGTACACTGCTGAGGGGAGCAGTGGGCAAGGCAGGAGAGGTCTGCTGTGCCATGTGGGTCACTTCGGGGGCAGGGAACAAAGTACTGCTGAAGCGGTTGCAGCTAGATTAATAGTGAGCTTTAACCCCTTGTGCCACCAGAGAGGGCCCGAGATTGGATTTTTTTTTTTTAAAGATTTATTTGTGCATACAGAACTGGGGTACAGGCCAGAGGTGCAGGGGCGGCGAGAGGCTTCACCAGAGACAGAGCGGGGAACAGAACAGGCAGATCGACGAGGTACACTGCTGAGGGGAGCAGCGGGTGGGTCAGGAGAGGTCTGCCACACCATGTGGTCACCTCCGGGGCAGGCGGGAATCGAACTCATGCGGAAGCGGCTTTTAGATTCTCAGTGCTTGTGCTTTAACCCACTGCGCCACCAGGGAGGGCCCCGAGATTGGATTTTTAAGGTTTGTTCTGGTTGTGTGAATTCCAATTGGGTTTTTACGTAGGGGAATAGTAGGGTCTGGTTATTGTTTTTTGAGTCATCTACCAGGGTTCCCTCAGGGATGAGTTATACCACTCCTGCCCTAGCACACAGAAAACGCTTCAGTGTCAAACTTCTCCAACTGATGCTGTCTATGGGAGAACGTGTACCCCATTTGGACACACAACTTCCTTTTGGGTTGGCTTTGACTTTCTATTCTGAAGTATGATGGAATTTATTGCTTGTGGAAATAGTCATTGATTCCTTATTTACTTATGGCAACTTGCTTAATCTATCTAAATTATATATTCCTCATATGCTAAATAAGAATTACAACTACCTTACAAAGTGTTTTGAATAGTAAAGATAACATGTAAAAGAGACAAGTAGAAGGTGTACAAGTCACATTTTAAGGACTCCATCAATGGAACTACTTATTAATATATTGTGCATTGAAGATAAACCAAAGAGTTAACTATCATTTTAAAATCTTGCTTTTTTCCTCACCCACCCCATCTTAGTACATTTTATACTAAGTATATTTTGACATTCTACCTACTCAATCTCTATGAAATCTTTTCCTTTCCATCACCATTGTTACACCCTTAGCAGTTCTATATACACATAATGCCCTCTTTGCTTGCACTGCTTTCTCTGCCTGATGTACCATTCCACTTTACATACATCACTGCTATGTGTGGCCAAATAAATCTTTTAAAACAATGTGAATCACATTCAGGCCACTCCTCCTGGATTTAGACCACATCAACATCTTTCCATTCTATGGCAGCATCTAAATCCCTCAACACGAGCTCTAAAGCCCTATGAGGTGCCTTCCTTTCCAACTCCAGCTCCCTTTCTTCAAATCTCACAATGTCCCAGTTTTTCTGCTCTCCTTCCCTTCAGTCCTCTGAACATGTTATGTTTTCTTCTGGCCTGCAATTGAGCCTTTCCTTGTCCCTGAAACTAAATTTAGTCCTTCATCTCCAGCTCATTTCACCTATTTATTGTCTCAACTCTAGCTTTGCTAGGAAGTTTTGTTAGTAAATTTCTTACCAGTCATTTTTTTCAGGAGCACTCCCACCTTCTGAGTGACCTTATATTTTGCTTTAACATGTGAAATTCAATATCTTATTTACTGTCTATGTTTGGACAACTTGCAGGCAGAGACCTTGACTGTTTTGGTCCTTACTAAGTCTTAAGTCACATTATGGTATCTGATATCACTGGCTATTGAGAAATGCTTGTTGAATTAATAAATCTTCCACAGGAGGCACAACAGAAGCAAACCAGGGTATAAATCCATAGTTAAGCCCAGCCACCCATAAGGAAATCCATTCCTCTCACCGCATCAATCTCATTCAGGGCCTTCCATTGCTCATAGGGGACACCCAGAGCCTCAGCTGTCTGGATAGTTCTCTTCATGTGGCTTGTCCATACTTTCAGGGAACTGATGCCTTGGGATTGAATGAAGTTGGCGAGGGCATAGGCATACTGGAGAGTGAGAGTTCAGCGGAGAAGAGGAGTAGAGAGAGGTAAAATAAGACACTGTAGCCATGAGAACAATCTCAGATCAGCCATAAATTATAAAACGGTGATGTATAAGCAAGAGCACAGAGTTTACAACTACTAAAAATGTGAAAATCTGCCTTTTGCAACTACATGGATGAACTTGAGGTGATTATACAAAGCAAAATAAGTCATAACATGTACGAAAATTACTGATGGTCTCACTCATTTGTGGAGTGTAAATAACCAAAGAAAACACTGGGAAAACACAACAAAAGTGACTATTAGAATCTATGAAAAATATGCTAGTTGTCAGAGGAGAAGAAGAATGGGAGGAAAGTGTAGAGCGTGCCAATTTGATAATGTGATAGTGCTAGAAATTTGGCAGTATGGTGAGTGAAGCACATATACATATTTAAGTGTGAAGTTGTACCCCCAAGTTACATAGTTTTGTAAACAAATGAGGAATCAGTAAAAGTTCATTTAAAAGGGAGGAAAGTAAAAAATATAGCAGAGTTTAACTGTTTCAAATTTATAAAAAGTCATGCACTTGCCCATGTGCTAAGACATCAAGGGAACAGAAAAGGACATTTTGTTTTCATTGTATATATGTATATATGTGTGTGCTCACTGAACCACCTACTCAGTCATTCATAAACAGGCCTACCTTTAACCTTTGTGGGACTTTGGATAAGAGTACAAATAGAGGCATTCTTCCCACAGTTTTCCTCTTTTCTCCCATTTCTCATCCTGTCCTAGATGCCTTCAGTATATGTTTGTTGATATTCAATCAAATGACCAGGTCATCTACATATTATATTTCCCCAGAGCCCTTTATTCAAGAAACAGCAACATCTTGGTCACCTATTTGTTTAGCAGTGAACACTTCTGTGCTGTGGTCCACTCTCAGCTGGACGAACTCTGGAATAGGCTATGTAGACATTGAATGCAGACTATGAACTACAAAGGTGGTAATTTTCAGGTTTTGGATATTTTCAACATGGTCTAGAAGTGGGGGGGTATATAGGATTTGGGGGACATTTCTCTTTGACCCTGTAAAATATCATTGCTTGAGCTAGGGTCTTGTTCGCAGATTCTAAGGATACTCAAAAACATACTGAGCTCATGCCTTGAGTACTAGATAGCTTATTCTCCAGATACAACCTATTAATAGTATAGTGGGGGAAATTACAGCACCAAGAAGAAACATGAGAGGTTGAGGGAGCCTGATGAACAAGTGATTCACTCTTCTGTATAAGAACATGTTGTTAATCACAGCTGGTGTGTGAGGAATCTGTACAAATACAGACACATAGGCATTCATTTATATCGAAAATATGGACATTGTGTAAACACATTCTAATTATGAATTTTGAGTCAGTAGGCAGTGTGCTCTGGTGGAAGGTAGGAGATGGGGGTTAAACCATCCCAGCTCCTTCACGTGGTCTCTGTACGGCTTGAGACACACCCCTGTTCCTCTCTGGCCTACTTCTGAGCTGTGAGATGTGAACAAGACTAGCTTCTGCAGCCTTGTCTCTGAGCCTCACATTCGATAGTGGGTAAGAAGGAACCAGAATGCTCCTTGGCATACAAAGCAGCTACTGTGACTGATTGAGGGCAACAGTCAATGGCAAAGTGTTTTGTAAACTGTGCACGATGCATCAGCCCACGAGTATGAAAGCTGAGCTCATCTGTTTGTGTGTGTGCATGTACATGTTTGTATGTGAGGGAGATGGCCATATGTCCTAGGTGGACATGGAGCTATGTATCCAGAGCCATAGCTGGGTCATCCAAGAGACTCCTAGCTGCAGGTGATGTCACGAGAAGGGTAAAATCTTCAAGGCCTCCGATTCTGTTGGGCAGGGAGTTAGAGGTCAGAGTCTACCTTGAATGGAGGCTGCCAGTGTGAATGTAATAGAAAAGGGATCACAAAACTCAGGTCTTCTGGTGCAGTGCCTTTCCTAGGACACTAACCACTCCACAGTGGGGAATGCTGAGTTTCAGGCAAGAAGGCCTGGTTTTCGGTCTCGTTCTATCCTTTATGGGCTATGTGACCTGGGGCTGTTCTTTGCTCCTGTCTGGGTGACAGTTTCCTCACTCACGCTCTGGTAATTGTAATTTCTACTCCACATAACTGTTGTAAAAATTAAATGAGGCCAAACTTATGGGTGTAGATGGTGCTTTAACTCTGTAACTGTGCACAAGTATTAAATAAGAGGGTTATCCCCTCCCCCGTATGCCATTTCCCACTTGTCTTACCTCTAAGCCATACTTTCAACAAGAACAGCACCTGTATTAACAAGCTTAGTCATAGGGCTAAATGCTAGAGAAATGTATCCCTTTATTTAGCCAGCATCCATAATGTGCTTATCACGATGTCAGCTAGAGAGAAAAGATTCATGCCAGGAAAGTGAGCCATGAACTGGAAGAGAACTGGGCAGAACTGGGAGAGATGGAACCTAGGGCATGGTGATCTTTCTGGGAGAACTTCCTGGACCATAACACGGATCAGAAACTGGTCTAGGCTGGAGGAGGAGGGCAGGAAAAAAGCAGTAACAAGTGCTAGCAGTAAGGCTTGCAGTAAGGGGTGAGGTGTGGCTTTACCCCTGTGTAAGGGAGAAGATGGGTTTAAGGGTGTGGCACTTCAAAGCAGTGCCCAAGTGATGTTCATCAGCTAACAGAGAGGACAGAGAATAGCCTAGGTAGGGAAAATACTCAAACAATGACACAGAATTGTGAGAAAGATGAGACCAGTGAGGCAGAGGTGTGGGGTGTTCACTGTAATGGGGCTAGAGGAGCAGTCAGATGTGAGTGGGCTTTGAATGCCAGGACCAAGTTCTATGACTTGTAGATGCTGTCAGCTCATGAGAGTCATTCAACGATGGGTCGTAAGTGAATGACTGATGAGGCAGAAGAGGAGGATTGACCAGAAATGACTTTTACACTGTCTGTAAGACCTCATCCTCACCCCAGTTGTCAGGACAAATATCATCCACCCACTGCCCACCTGGGCCAGCTTAGTCAGTACCATAGGGTGTACGGGGCTCTCCATACCTGCTTGCCCCGAGCTGAGAGGCCAGAGTCACCTCCAATTCGTCCTCTGAGGTTGAGTTCACTCTCACCATGTCGACATAGGTAGATGGAGCGGGGTGTGACATGGATGTTCATGAGATAGTAGACTGTGCGACTCTGAATGTGGTCCTGAACTCGGTTCACCATGTAGCGTGTGCCCACGTCAAAGATCTTGATGTAGGATAGTTGGCTAAAACAGCCCAAACATGAGCAAGGGCAGCTCAGGGACTTATAGTGGAGAAGCTGATCCAAGAGACAGTCCCAACCATACACCCTGCTGTCAAGATTCCTTCACAACCCAGCTCTCACTTACATTTCCTCTAATAACATGCCATGCCTTCACCTGTTTTGGGTACCTATTCTAGAAATTTGTTTTCTGGCCACCCTGAGGAGCTCATCACCTGCTACCATTTCCATTTCCTTTACTTAGTCTTGGCTTGACTCAGGCTATATTTTCATCTTTGCTCATCACACTCCAGGAATCTGAGGTTCTCTTCTTAGTAGTTCACACTTCTGCTATACTCAGAGGGAAACAATAATCTTCTGTCTCTGGCTGCCCCTGCCATCTCACTGTCAACTACTGTTTTGTCCACTCATAACATTTCCAATGTTGAGTACAGCACTCCCCACCCAGCCCTGTTCTTTGAGCCCATGCTATGTTTATGGTACTTGATAATCCACATATACTTAATACTCTACAGGTAGCTACAGCTTGTGTAAAAGCTACAGTTTGTGTCTGTGTGCATCTGTTTCATCACTCAGGAAAGGTAGTTAGGTTCTCACCCTATCTATCACGCATTCTGCGAACAACCCTTTTTCTGTTCCAAACAGGCAGATTGATGAAGCACACTGCCCAGGGGAGAAGCTGGTGGGTCAGGAGAGGTCTGCTGTACCCTGGCCAGGGATTGCATTCAGGCTGCAGTGGCCGAGATAGATTCATAGTTCTATGCTTTAACCCACTGCGCCACCAGGGAGGGCCTGGTAGAGGCTTTTTCAATAATTCTTTACTTCAGCTTCTCTTCTTCAAGCTTATTTTACCATATCCCTTTAGCCCATATATTGTGACTTTTTAGAAATTTAAAAGATTTGATTTTTCCTTAGGGAAGAAACAGTCCCATTCCAGCATACAAATTTTGGTAAGAAAATCAAGTGCATCTTAATCTGGTTGTCCTTGCATATTGAACAATCTTCACAATAGGACATAGATATCCTACCTCTTGTACTGTCTAAGCTTCATGCGACACTTTTTATGATATATGTCATATATTCTGGAGGGGGAAGGTCAGATTGGAAGTCTGAAAATAAGTGTTTGAGTATATATTCTGCTACTGAGTCATTATGTTACCCCAGGGAACCCTACCTCCTGCTCTGGGGCTCAGTTTTCACACCTATGGAATGAGGTAATAACAGTGATCACTTCTGAAGACTTCAGCTAGGTAAAGCTATTTGAGACCCCCTTATATCTCTCCCTCGGGACCTAAAAGATCTGAGTGACCAACTTATCACAACACATTTTGAAAGCAAGTAAGTTTATAGGAACACCCTATATTTAAAACTCACATCTTCCGTGTACTTTTGTCTAATGCTTCTCCTATCATATTTTTTCATTTCAAGGCACTATGGAAGCTACCTGAGGATTGAATTCTTTTTTTCCCTTTTTCCTTATTTAATCCCTTATGCATGCTACAGTCCAAAGGGGCTAAATACTTATTGACTGAAGAGGTACATGGCCATTATGGATATAGACATGACCAGAAGAGAGAATATGTGGTTAAAAATCACAGATATTCCCATGACTTGTGGTAGGAGCTTGGTAAAGTGGTTTTCCTTCTTTAAAATTCAATTTACTCTTCTTGAAAAATGATCATAAGATCTATTTTAACATCCTATACAGGAGTGTCAAGGGGGAATCAATGAAAAAAGAAACCCAGTATGTTTAGAAATGGAAGTATCATCCATGTATAAAGAATACTTTTGGGGCCCTCCCTGCTACAATGGATTAAAGCACAGCACCATGAAGCTATTGCAGCCATTGCAGCATGAATTCTATTCCCTGTCAGGGAGGTGACCCACATGGTGTGGCAGACCTCTCCTGACCCACCCGCTGCTCCCTGCAGCAATATATTTCAGTAGATCTGTCTGTTCTGTCTGGTAAATCCTTTCACCCCCTGCACCTCTGGTCTATACCCCAGTTCTGTATACATAAAGAAATAAAATCTTAAGTACTTTTGAATAAATAATAGAAACAACTGCATGAAGGAAAAAATTGTTCCCAGAGATCAGAACACTGATATGTCTATATTTCCCAGGAAAACATGACTTCACTTCTCTTATGAATACTTTGCATATCAGGGAATATACTAGCTCCTGGATAATTAGACCTGGCAGGGACTGTGAAGACAAATCACCAAGTCAAACTCCCTAATGCTACATATAGATAAATTGATGCCCAGAGAGGATGGATAAAATTGAGGCCCAAAGAGGAAGGGAATTTTCTTAGGTTCTACAGGACCTAAAACAGGGTTAAGGATCCAGACCTGTACTTTGGGGTTCTGGGTTCTTACCTGTCTAATTCGTCATCCAAAGGTTGGTAGTTGACTTCATAGCACTGGATTCTCTTTAAAAAGTCTTCCAGAACCTTTTCCCGGTCACAGTCTATGTAATCAGGACTGCCAAGTTTTACTTGCTGGGAGAAGGACAGATCAATCATGGGAGGCAGAAATTGCAATGTCCTTTGGAAGAGGTCTTAATGATCTCTGATACAACAGTCATCATAATAAAGATAAGGAAATTGAGACTTGGCAAAAAGGTCTTGCCCAAATTTACAGAATTTTTATATGGACTTTGTGACTCCTCATTTCTTTGTTCTATGTGGTCAAACAAACTCTGGCACACTAAATTAATTTCTAAAGCACACATAGCCTAAAAATAGCAGTTATAGGAAGATCAGAAATGGTCAAATTAATTGAAGAAGGAAAACATGACTACTTGGCCAGTGGTCACAATGACTTACATATATTAAGTGTTTATTAGGAAAACATATCATGATGGCTTTATATTTATAAAGGTCTGGAATCTCTTAGTTTTCTGTTATCTACCTTTTCCACCTCTCCCCGTTTCAGTGAATAGGACCATAATCCATCAGTCACCTGAACGTAAAAGAAATCTGGGAGGCATACTAGATATGTCTCTTTGTATCATTTCCCACTTTTCAGCAGACAAGTCACTGTGGCTTTGTAACTGATTACTTTGTCCACAGTCTTCTTACTTCTGACATATTTCCAATATTAACAACTTGAGGAATATTTCTAACATGCACATTTGACCATGGTATTCCCAGATTAAAATTTTTCACCATTTCCTCATATTTTTCAGGACAAAGTATGGACTTTTAAGTGGGTGACTCATCATTTGTCATTATTGTGCCCAAACTTGTTTTACCATCTTTCACTGGTCTTCTATACCTCCACCTACTTTTTTTTTTTTTTTGGCCAACTTAAGCTATTTCTAGTCCCTGGAGATGCCATACTTAGTGTATGTTATTCCCTAATCTCCCAGTCTTCACCTGTCAAATTTCTGTGTAGGTCAGCTATTACCTTCATGGAGAAAATTACCACTTCTGTGCAAGGCTATATCTTCATATCTTCAATTCTGTGCTTCTACAGTATCCTTTGTTCCCTTATATCAATAATTATCTCATTGAGTTATGTCTACAAGCTTGTCAGTCTCTCTCAGACTGTGATCTCAAGGGCAAGATTCTCATCTATGCATTTCTATCTAATACTCTTATCAGCCCAGCCCATGTGCACACATTTGATTTCTGTTGAATCAATAAATGGATAGCTAGAATGATTGGTGGGTGAAAAGGAAAGGGAAGTAATGACCATGTTTTATATCTCAAGAGATATACATAAGGCCAGTAAGTGGAAATTACATTGAGAAAAAATTCAGCTTGATTGGGTTCTATTTGATGAAGATAACGGGCTTCTTGTGAATGAGGAGTGAAGAAGATAAACTGTAGACAAACATTTAGTTGAGATTTCAAATCTGATGGAGGGTTGAAGGAGATGGCCTTTAAGGTCTTTTCTGAGCTCTAGTAATTTTTTTTTTTTCAAAGATTTATTTATTTGTGCATACAGAACTGGGGTACAGGCCAGAGGCTCAGGGGCGGTGAGAGGCTTCACCAGAGACAGAGTGGGGAACAGAACAGGCAGATCAACGAAGTACACTGCTGAGGGGAGCAGCGGGCGGGTCAGGAGAGGTCTGCCACGCCATGTGGTCTCCTCCCGGGCAGGTGGGAATCGAACTCATGCGGAAGTGGCTTTGGCTTCTCAGTGCTGTGCTTTAACCCACTGCGCCACCAGGGAGGGCCTGAGCTCTAGTAATTTTGATAAAATAGAATACCATAAAATGTTGTGAATGAACTAGTTCAAGTTCACATGCTGGGATCTAAGAACAGTGATAATTCTGATAAGAATTCTGGGGCAAAATAAAGAAATTTTGAGACACACAGCCAAACTTGAGTTTCTTTCCCAGCTCCATCTCTTTATAGCACTATAAGTTTTTCACAAGTTGTGTCTTCTCTTGGAATCACAATTTCCTCTATCAACACTGAAATTATTCTTAACATGCAGGTTTATTGTGAAAAATTGGTGAAAGTCAAATTTTGTGCTTGGCACATATTAAGGACTGTATATAGGTTTGATATATATAATTTCATCATCAAAATCATCACATCTATCTATCTATCTCTCTATATAATTTAATTTCATTGGATAATTGTAAATCAGGAAAGTTAGGGTATACTACATACAGAAGATGTGGGAAACAATGCCTCCTTAAATCTCATGGAGGTCTTTTAGGTGTGATCCTAACTGGAGGCAAAGTAAGTAGGAAAGGTAACTGCAATTGCTTCTTACCTTGATGTTTTCTGCAATGATGCCAGGGTCATTACAGATGGACTCAATGAAAAAGACCTACAGGAAAAGAAGAGAATTCTAGCAGTAAATATGTTTGGTGAGTGTCAAACATAGTTTGACTCCTTCTCACTGGCTCTGAATCATACTCAGAGGCATCTCTGGCAACATAATTTCAGAGTGGTGCTTTCATGATTCCAAGTTTTCTTAAGCAGATTGGCTCTAAATTGAATGCCTCCACATTTGTTTTGTGTTTTTACCGGTTTTTAGTTTTAATATATGCTTTTCTATAGTGGTTTCCTCATCAATCTTTCAGAAATCATATCCAATTACCTAATTTGCCACCTCTCTTTTCCTGTTCTGGTTTGCTGCATATAACTCTGATCTGTAAAGCCATGTAACTATGTTAAAATTAATTCCCTGGTTTGACTTTCCTTGGAACTTGGACTGAAAAAGTAGGATCTAGACAAAGTAGGAATGTTACTGTACCTTGTAACCATGTTCTTTAGCAAACTGCAGAATCAATGACCGTCTTTCTCTAGTAGTGTTGGTGGCATCAAAAACCTAGAGGCAGATGATAAGATTGGTTTACTTACTGGTGCTGATAGAATGGCTACCCTTTGAGTATTCCTGTGCTAAGTACAGAGACTCAAGTAGAGTAGGAAATTTTAATAGGGTCTTGAAGGATAAGAATGATCTGGAATTTGTTATGTCAATTACACAAGCACACATTGAGCCTTTGTTGTCTACCTCAAAATGTACCAGACTTTGTACGTAGGTCCAACAAGGAAAAGGAAAATTATGGCCATTTAATAGCATCATTTTATAGGTGAAGTAACTGAGGTCCAGAAGAAGGAATTACCTTAATCAAGGTCACAAAGAGTTTCTGACAGATCAGAGCTAGAAATGATTTTCTTAACTCCTTGGTGAGGCTTGACTCTTCCTTGTCACTTTGATACATTTTAAGAACAGGAAATACTTCTCTATCCTTAGCTCTTTAGATGAGATCATTTGCATATTTGAAGATCTTTTCCTTGTAGAATTTGCAAGTACTGTCTCAGGGCTTACGAGATTGAATTTACCAGATATTTAGGTACATCTCAAAGGTTCAAAAATGTCTGTTCTGCAGTTTTAACTTCTAGTGTAGTTAAGACTAACAGCATCAAATCAATCACTCTTCTGCACATTTACTGCCCTATCCAAAGAAATTATTTAATTTCTGTTTGTGCCATTCTCCTTATTACAGGGAGTAGTAATGATAACTATTATATATACTAAGTGAAGACATGAAAAGTACTTAGAATGATGTGTGTACTGTAGTAAATAGTCAATACATATTAGCTGTTCTCCATCTCAGCAGATACCCAAGCAAAAGTACAAATTTCTTTACCGCTACATGACCTTCATCATGGCTGAGATAGTGATGGACATCCTTCAGTGCTGCTAGAGCACACTGCCTGAAAAAGGTGAAAACAAAACAAAACAAAACAGGAAACAGCTTCTATCTTTGGGATGCATTCTTGTCTATTTGTCATTACCTTTTATACCATCTGTAATACATTCTACATTAACTTCTATGCAGGGCGTTTTTTGTTTTAGGCACCATGATAGACTTGTAGGGGTAACAAAATTGAAGGTGGCTCTGCTTGTACATTTTAGGAGAGGGCATAATGCGGCATAACCAGGTAAAGTTGACTGATCATAGAAGCCAAAATATTAAGGTTTCCAAATCTTGAGGCAATGGAGTTTAAGCTGAATTGATTCTTTGAGCAAGGTAGAGACTTGATAATACATTTGTGCTTTTGGTAAAAAAAATTCTTTACTAATAACTCTTTGCCAGGTTCTATTATAGGGTATGAATTAACATTGATAAAAGACACACAGTCTCTTTTAAGGATGTGCTCAGCGTCTCATAGAGAAGAGAATCCTGGAGGTTGAATGGAGTAGATTGGAGAGATTAGAGTATAAAAAGCTATTAAAATTCATGTCTTAAATGCAAAGCTGAAAAATTTCTACTCTCCTCTATTAGACATAGGGGATTGTTGAAAGTTCCTAAACAGGGAATGTTTATGAGCCAAGAGAGGATTTGAGTAAGGTAGTGGAAGGGCTTTTGTAAACACCCTATGAAAGTCTACTCTTTTTCAGTTCCCCATCATTTCAACAAAGGCATCCTCAGACAGGGGGTACACAGTTTCCTAAAATATTATATACTTACTTCCTGATAAGTAGGGCCTCCATGTTGTCTGGGAGAAAGAATTCATAGTTCTTATAGCTCACTGCCTCTCGCCGATATTGGCCTAAATTAAACACTGAGAGCAGGGAACATTTGTGAAAAGGTTGGGAAATTCCAGTGGCAAAAAATAAATAAACAAACAGATAAACAAACAAACAAACAAATAAATGTCCTTGCTGGCAGTGGTCTCAAAAGTAGAAGATATAATTTGTAGCTCTATAATTTGTTTATAATGCTTCAAAGTATGACTACCAACTCATTTATTCCTCGCAAAAACACCATAAAGTTAGAATCACCATTCCCTTCCCACTTTATAAATGAGCAAACTGAATTTCAGAGTAAGACATAATTTTCACAGTTAAAAAGTGGGGAGCTCTGTTAATTGCAAAGATGGTAGTCGTTATATGGTAAAATTCTATTTACCATAAACTTTTAATACTTTTAATGCTCTACTGGAAAGACAGAGAAACTGAACTCCAGAGAATAAAATCAATCACCAAACTTCAAAAAGTGAGTCAATGGGTGAAAGAACTATACTTATGACTTCTGAAACTCACACTGTACTATTACATTTTTTTTTGTGTGCCATGACAAACAACTTAAAGTCACTTCCCTATCTAAGGTCATATTTTCTCCTTTATAATGCATAAAAGTCAATAGGAATGAAGAGAAGGGGAGAACTGTGACAATAAGCAAGGAAGTAATAGAAAATATTTTATTCAGTAATCTAATACTTGCTAATATCTATTATGTGAGGCAGAGTTCTGGGCTTTGGGGTTTCAGAGAAGAACCAGATTTGTGTGATGGTGTCCTGAGATAACTTGTAATCCAGCAGATAAGAAAGAGAGTAAACCAGGAAAAAGAGAGAGAGAGAGAGAGAAAGCATTTACCCAATTAATTGTTCTCTCATAGGGTCCCACAAAAGAATGAAGGGAAAGAAAAGACTAATTCCAATTGAGATGGAAAAAAGCAGCATTTGAATCAGTCTTTTTAGGAGGGCTGGTCTTTTATAGGCAGGCATTGGGAGTGTGAGTAGGGAAGAAGGACATTCTAAGTAGGAACAGCTTGAGCAATGTTATAGCATTGGCAGAAGGTAGAGATGTTTGGGTAATGGTGAGCCATCTGCTGTGCTGAGGACCTCTGGGGCAGTGGCTGACTGTGGAGGACATTGGATGACAGAATAAGAAGCTTGAATTTATACCTTTACAAAGAGAACCTTGGAGGCTGTATATATGGTCAACTTTGTACTTTGAAACATGACTACAAGGGACTTGGTGATAATGTACTAAGTAGATCAGACAGGAAGCAGGTGTTCTAGAGCACATACATATCTGTCACTGTCCTGACTTTACCTGTACTCAGAGAGGTTCCTCAGGGCCTGTAGTCCTCCACAAGAATTATCCCTTCTTTCCAAATCTTCTGTCAAGTCTTACTTCTCCCTCAACACTCAGACCAAATATACCCTATCTGGAACCCTTTTTGCCTTCCAGTTGGCAATCCCCTCTATAAGCTACCTTACTAGCCTACCCTGGGATACCTAGGTTATATGAGGTCTTCTTATACACCCCAGCCATATGGAGAACTCTTCAAAGACAGGGTGTGGACCACATTCAGTTTTGCACCTCCAATACCTAGCATAGAAGTTGACACATGAGAAACCATCGGGAAACTCCTCAAAGGTGAATTAAAGTAAGATAAAGTACATTAAGAGAAAAAAGAAGTGGGTGGAAGAGAGAACTTGGAGAAAGGGATGGAAGGGGACAGATAGATAGGGTGTTGTGATGGGCAAGAGTATAGAGAGAAATAGAATGGAGTAAAGGAGAGTGTATGTCCTATATGGGCTCTTTTCCATTCCCATCAATAGAGCCAAAAATTAGACCTAACACATTTAGTGTCAGACTCTGGAAACAACTAGGCCTGGGTTCATATCTTGATCTTGTCATGTATAGACAATGCCTTTAGACAAGGCACATTAACACCTTTGATGTGGTGATAATGCTAGTTTCTGCTTCTTTTTTTTTTTTTTTTTTTGGACCTTAAGAACAGATGTGATTTCCTTTAAGACAGGCATCATTGTCACTCATTGTTCAACATCCAAGAAGGGCTTTGCACATCTGTATGCTCCAAAATAATTAATGACTGAGTGAATAAATATATGCCTAAGAACTGTTTTCTGCCCTCAGGAGCAATTACAGAAGAGAGTCCATGTACTTGCTTAGTGCACTGGTCAAGGAGGAGTTTGCCTATAGTAAAACTTTTTGGAGAAGTTAATATTTTTGAAAAGCATCAATGTAGTTATCAGGGGATAAGTAAAATATTTTGCTAAATGTTCTTAAATCTACTGTTTTTACTGAGAATTACATATGATATAGAGGCACCTTATCCTTTACTGTTTAGATATTCTAAACATCTTAATCTAGTCATATTTGAGAGACAGGAATGACAACTGGTTTTGGTATAGATCAGGTTGGTGTGGGAGTTCACACAAGTGGAATCCTCCCTGAAGAAACAGAAAAGTCAAGTAGGAAGGGGAATGTAGGGCAGGGAATAAAGAAATTTGGTAAAGAATGGAAATAGTCATTGTTGAATTTGGAATAGTTTGCAGAAAGGAAATGGAAAGTTGGTAGAGAATCTGATAGGCAAAGAAGGAGACTCATATGTAGGTGACAAGAGAGCAGGACACCCCACTTCTGGTCAAAGAGGAAGGAAGAGTGAACATGGTCAAAGATAAGGAAAAGGTTTCGACAGAGTGGCTGCCTTTTGGTCTCTAGATGACAAGGTATGCTTTGGTGCCGAGCTTTAGAGAAGATCTTGTGGAGGCCTACAGATCGTAGCTTTTATGTGCTTCACTGTAAATTCCCAAGTTTTGAAGAAAACCTTAAGGTTATAATGTTAATAAAATAACAATATTGTTATTGTAATAATAATAATGGTAACAAAAATGCTATATTTTTTATAGGGTTGTTTTCAGTCTTTCAATAATGGAGCTTCTGAAAATAGATATTTAATGCCACTGGCTTTGTTTTGCCTAACACCAAGCATCGAGTTGGGCATAGAGTTTATGCTTTAGATATTGTTAAATATGAGAGGCTAGTGGTAGTGGTATTAGCAATAGTAGTAGTAATAATCCTAAGTCTAAAATAATAGTTATAAGATATTTCTGATACTGAGGACTTTGTCCCTTTGGAGGCTTGCTACCTTTGTGTTGTTATCAAGTGTTCTATAGGAAGATGCAAGGAAGATAGTTGCAAATACGTACCTTTAGTTGGTGTTCCTATCCAGTTGAGGTATCGTGTGAGCTTTGTGGAAATGTAGGTCTTTCCTCGAGCAGGCAAACCAACCATGATCACAATTGTGGGGGAATTGGTAAACTGGGGTATGGAAGCTGAAAGACAAAAGGAGCCTCAAAAACTTATCTTCAGTTCATAGAACTGTCTGTTACCAACTCAATGACGTAGAATTAGAAAGAGTATTATCTCTCCCATCATGAGATCAAGAAAATATCTGGAATACTGCAAATTAATAACTTATATTAATGTCACCAGGAAACTGAAATTACGGTACAAACAAATAATTCCAAATCTGTAGAGACAGCCCTCTGCAGGGAGCAACATAGCTCAAGTATTGTTTGCATTTTGCAGATAATACTGAACAATATAAAGAACAAATGTGATTCCATTAAAAATTGTTAATGTATTACTAATGGTTCATTATGAGCTAATGTGAAAATGTGAAGTGCCAAGGTTTCCTAACATTAAGTGTGGACTTTTCTTTTAGGAATTCTACCAGGTATTGAGAAGTAAGATTGAGAATTATTCTGAAAAAGATATCTTGTAATTATGGCTTGGGGAGGGGAACAGAACAGCATTCATTGCTGAAACTGTAGTAAGGTCATCTTGCCATGTACTATGGAAGAAAGTCTAATCTTCAAGGTGAAAGATGGTAAATAAAGTTTTAGCTCAAAAGCAATTAGGAGAAATTTCATGACAATGGGAAGATAGTAATGACCAATACCACTGAAACTGTTTAGATGGATCTCCTCTATCTTCCCTTAGGGAATAAAGCTTTTATCGGAGGAGAGAAGAACAAAAGGAACCATAAATAATGGTGGAAACTCACTAGAGGTGGAAACAGAAGATGAAAAAATCAACTAACCCACAAAGGACAGGAATATATACCAGGCCCACCAATATATTTAGAGAAGGGGCAGAGATTTATGTGAAGGTAACAACTCTAAGAGTTAAGATAAGCCTCCCTATGGCTGAGGCTTAATCAGAACATCGAGGATGTCTTTTGTCCTTATTCACATTACTAAACTAAAAAAATAATTGAGTGTAAATAACAGCAAACTACATCCTTGAAGAATATAAGAGATGGGCTATCGCCAAGGAGTAGCACAAAAATAAGAATCAAGGAAGAAAATAACCAACAAACCAACCAACAAGCAACACAGTCTGAAGAAACAAAGAAATCATCAGGACCATAAACACGATGAAATATATTAAAGACTTTATTGGAAAAAGTACACAACACTCAAGATCAAATAAGCAATTTCATCAGGTAATAGAAAGTATAAGGACAAATTACATGTAAATGCAAGAGAAAATACATAGTAACATGTGAAGAATGCCATCAAAGGAATCAGAATCAACTTAAACCTTTTGTCAGGAGCCACACTAGTAACTGGCCCTCCCTGTTGGCTCAACAGGTTAAAGCACAGCGCTGTGAGTGATCCTCAGCCACTTCAGTGGGAGCAGAGTGAGTCAGTGCGAGCCAGTTTGATCCCTGGTCCCTGAGGTGAGACACATGGCCTGGCAGACCTCCAGACACACCCGTTGCTCCCCTTAGCAGTGTACTTCCTTGATCTGCCTGTTCTCTGGTGAATCTGTCCCTGGTGAATATTCTTACCTGCCAGCACCTCTCACCTGTATCCCAGTTCTGTATACATAAGTAAATAATTTTTTTTAAAAAAGAAACCACACACGTAAAATGACAATAGATTTAGACCTTTAAATGTTGAAAACGAAAAGAACAAAAAACCCTGGGCAATACGAATGGCTAAATTCAGCAAAAATGCCTCTCAAAAATAAATGTAGTAGGGCTTCCCCCCCCCCCCCAGAAAAACAAACAGAATAGTTATCACCAGCAGAGGTCAGAGCTGTCTTATATGAAATGTTAAAGAACACACCTTAAGCAGAAAAGGATATGTCAGAAATTGGATTTACATGATTAAAGAAAGAACATTGAAAAAGAATGAATAAAGACAAACTGTATCTTTTTATTTTTCATATTCTTAATTGTTTTAAAATATAAATGACTGTTTAAAGCAATAATAGGAACAATGTATTAGATGTTTATAACATAGGTAAAGTGAAGTAAATACAATGATATAAGGAAAGGGAAGAAAGAATTAGAATGTTCTATTATAAAGTCCTTGCATTACATGTGAAGCAACACAGTGTTATTTTACAATGAACCAAGTTTATTTGTAAATGTCTATTGTAAACCATACAGGAACAAATAAAAAGGTGGGAAAAAGACATACAAATAATAAGTAAATTCAGGAGATAAAATCAGATCATAAGATAATGATCAACTAAAATGATAAAAGGCATGAGAACAGTTTAAAGAAAAAAAAACAATTTCAATAAATAGAAAACAGCAAGGCGGTAGATTTTAATCCCACTATATAAAAAATAACTTAAAATATGAATTATCTAAATACAATAACTAAAACACAGATTGTATAAAAACACAAACCCAACCACTGTCTACAAAACACACATAGCTGTGTTTGGTTCCAGGAACCTTATTTTATCTTTTACTAACTCAAATATAAAACCTTGCTAATATGCATGGGAACCTATATGAAAACTTAAAAGTAAATATAAGCAGGTGGATCAGAAAAGCTTACCAGTGTTAGAAATACCACTTGAACAGCTGTGATTTCTGCATTATATTTTTCTTCCAGATTTGTGAGCCTAAATTGAACATGAAACCAAGAAGTGGGCAAAATGGGATACAGGCAATACCTTAGAGTTGAGGAGAAAAAAATGGAATTCCTCAAGTTCAAGGAGAATATGGGAAATCTATTATGTTTTTATTTGCTTACTTCTTTGATCTCACAGTGGGAGTAATGATAGCAAGAACAGTACAGATGGATTACTCTATAACAGAGACCTCCACACATGAAATCACAAAAGCATGAGATTATTCCTCTACAAGGAACTATTTATCCTGAGGACAAAATAGAACATTCTAATTTTTCCTCTCTTTCATCTTCCACAAGCTGATTTTGGAACAAATAAGATGACAAATGGTTTTTCTTTTCTTTTCTTTTTTTTGAAAGATATATTTATTTATTCATATAGAACTGGGGTGCAGGCCAGAGGTGCAGGAGTGATGAGAGGATTCATCGGAGACAGAGTGGGGAGCAGAACAGGCTAACTAAGAACACTGCTAAGGGAAGCAACAGGTGGGTCAGGAGCGGTCTGCTGTGCCATGTGGGTCATGTCTGGGGCGGGGCTCGAATTCATGCTTAAGTGGCTTTTGCTTCTTAATGCTGTGCTTTAACCTGCTGTGCCACCAAGGAGGGCCCAACAAGTGTTTTTTTTTCCAACAGTGAGATGAAAACAAGAGTCTAGGGAACTAGGAAGTACTAAAAAAATAAGGGAAAGAGAAAAGCAACTGCATGAAGTTGTTTTAAATTCTTAGGCATGCTTTTGATTTGTGCTTAGCATACCAAATATTTCAAAACTGAACTAGCAAGAATACTTTCATCCAAGCCCCAACTGACTACTATGTGGTCACATGCAGGATTGACCTAAATTATCCTACAAAAATGTTGAAAAGTGAACTGATGTTGGAACAATACCACACAGAAAGTTAAATATAAAAAAAAAAAACAACCTCCATAGGATATATACAAGATTCAAGGTTCCAAATAATATTCAAAATGTACAAGAGACAAATTAATATCAATCAGCACACAAATAATCATGAAATGCCACCTTACATGGAAAAGACTCTCAACAAACATGAACGATAAATTAACACCACTATTGGAATTGTCTTATATTATTTATCATTAAAATGTGTGAATGAACATTTAGAAACAATCTTGAAACAAATATTAAAATAGAAAGATTTCACAAAGACACGGAAGAAAAAAAATCAAGTAGAAATGTTAGAGGTGAAAATATAATAAGCAACATTTTAAAAACTCACAGAATGGAGTCCATGGTAGAATAGAAATGATAGGAAAAAAAATAAACTTGAAGATCCAACAATAGAATCATCCAATATGAACAACAGAGAAATATTGAAAAAATAAAAACACAAAGTTTCAGGGACTTGTATAGCAACAAGAAACAAAGACAAATATTCATGTTATTTGAGTTTCAGATGGAGTGGAGAAAGGGAAGGGTCTGAAAATATAGCTGATAAAATTCTAGGTGAAAACTTCCTCATTGTTGAAAAACTGAAACTAACATATTCAAGAAACTAACAAATCCTAAATGGAATAAAATTATGAAACCCATATCCAGGTACATCATAATCAAATTGTTGAAAATGATGGAACATGAAATAATCTTGAAAGTAATTGGAGAAAAATAACTCATTATCAACAGGGCAATACTGGTTCCAATTACAAGTTTGTTATCAGAAACCATATATTTCAGAGTAAAGTACCACAATACTTTAAAGTACAGAAAGTAAAGACTTTTTGTATGAGTGAAAATGAGATGAAAACCACGTTTGCACAAAAAAGTTATATTCATATTTATAAGGTCATATTAAATGCTGATTAACATTAAAAACAACCAAAATATCCTTTAATTGATGAATGGATGTATTGTGATACAATCATAAAAGAAAATACTATTTAACAATTCAGAGAGCTATTCATTTTACAATAACTAGAATTTTAAATGCATTATATTAAGAGAAATAAGCCAAACTAATAGTAACTGAGAAAAGATCAATGGTTGTCAGGAGTTGGAGGAGACCAGAGAAATTGGCAATAATATTTATTTATTTATGCATACAGAACTGGGGTACAGGCCAGAGGTGCAGGGGTGGTGAAAGGATTCACCAGAGACAGTGTGGAGAGCAGAACAGGCAGATTGTCAAAGCACACTGCTGAGGGGAGCAGCAGGTGGGTCAGGAGAGGTCTTCCCTGCCATGTGGTCACCTCCGGGGAAGGTGGGGATCAAACTCATGCGGAAATGGCTTTAACTTCTTAGTGTTGTGCTTTAACCTGCTGCACCACCAGAGAGGGCCCCCGTATAAGATAAATTTTAAGGAGATAGAATTATTAATTTAATGTATACACAGTTATATACAGAAATATATATGTGTGTATGTATGTATTAGTATGCACAC